TGCCCTAGGCTGCAGCAGGTAATTGGGAAGGCATTATATGGAGGAATCTAGGAAATGGGGAGGGGATGGAGAAACCTGACTAGCTGATCAGAAAAGACCCAGGAAAATCATATGAAAGGTCTACTCAGGAATGTCTTTATAATTGGCCAATCAAGAGCTGATCATTGCTGGGGGACAAGGCAACTGAAATTGCAGTGGCGTAACCATCTGACAGACCCAAAGGCAACAGCAGATTTGTCAGTACAACTTGTAGCTGAAGCCCGCCAAGGAGTCAGATGCTACCTCTTCCATAGGTCTGGCAGCCAATTAAGCCCCATGAGTGCCCTATGGGGTCTGATGCCATTAAGGCTGCCAACTTTCTAATTGCACAAAACCAAACACTGTAGCTCCGCCCTTGCCCCAAGGCCCTGCCCCCACTCACTACATTCCCCCTCCTTTGGTGGCTTGCTCTTCCCCACCCTCACTCACTTTCACTGGGCTGGGGCAGGGGGTTGGGGTGTGGGCTCTAACTGGGGGTGCAGACTCTGGGGTGGGGCCAGAAATGAGGGGTTCAGGGGGTGGGAGGGGGCTCCAGGCTGGGGGGAGGGGCAGAGGGATTTAGCATGGGGCTGTAGGTTGAGGCAGGGAGTTAGGGTGTGGGAGTGGGTGAGGGCTTGGGGTGCGGGCTCTGGGGTGGGGCCAGGGATGAGGGGTATGGAGTGCAGTAGGGAGCTCTGGGTTTGGGGGAGGGCTGGGGCAGGGGGTTGGGGCCCGGGCTTACCTCGGGCAGCTCCCGGTCAGTGGCGCAGTGGGTCTAAGGCAGGCTCCCTGCCTGTCCTGGGTCCGTGTTGCACCCTGGAAGCGGCCAGCAGGTCTGGCTCCTATACAGGGTAGCCAGGAGGCTCTGCGTGCTGCTCTCGCCCACAGGAACCACCCCCTTAGCTCCCATTGGCCACGGTTCCAGGCCAATGGGGCTGTGGAGTTGGTGCTCAGGGTGGGAGCAGTGCAGTGCCAGGACAGGTAGGGACTAGCCTGCCTTAGCCCTGCAGCATCACCGACCGAACTTTTAATGGCCCGATCGGCAGTTCTGACCGGAGCTGCCAAGGTCCCTTTTTGACCGAGTGTTCCGATCAAAAACCGGACACCTGGCAACCCTAGATGCCATGAAAAAGATGGTAGTGGAGAGGGAAGAAAAACAAGCAGAAATTTGGCCTTTCTTAAGATGTAATTTAACATTTGTTAAATGAAACCAGAAATTAAAATGCCATGGAAGAGATGAGTCCCTCTGTGTTTGATATTTAAGTGTTGGCAGATTAACACTTTGGGCCTGTAAATTGCAAGTTTGGGTGGGTATAAACTGGGGCAGTTGACATTCACCAGCATGGCAGGCGCTCTGCATCCATCATCTACATTGTTAAAGAGGAAGAAACAATTATGCTCAGAACTGAGGGGTCTGTTCTCTTTCTGATGTCCAAACAGAAGGTTAGATTCTAAGTTGCACCCAATGTCGGCTGGGCCCATGCTCAGCTGGACCTTCTTGATGTCATTTAGAGCAGCCTTAGAGCTGACTTAATTTCACTAGAAGTTTGTAACTGCGAAGGGCCATTACACCAGATGGGGATCACCAAAGCCCAACATTTCTGCAGCCACATCTATATTCTTTGGCTACGACCTTCCTACATTAGATGGTCAAGATAGCTGGGGTAATCCTTCTGGGCCAGCTTTGTGCTGGCAGACTGATACAAAGGGGCCATAGGATAATAGAAAATCTAGCTCCCAATATTTATTAATCTAAGTCGAAGCTACATACCTTTATTGAGAGAATAGACCCCTTAGAAAGAATTTTGTCCTGAAGTATGTGAGCCACATACTATAGCTTCAAAGAGTCCTGTGGCACCTTATAGACTAACAGAAGTATTGGAGCATAAGCTTTCGTGGGTGAATACCCACTTCGTCAGATGCACGTGGGGTGGGGGGGGGATTTGATAGCAGCCATCAACTACCTGAAGGATGGTTCCAAAGAGGATGGAGCTAGGCTGTTCTCAGTGGTGGCAGATGACAGAACAAGGAGCAATGGTCTCAAGTTGCAGTGGGGGAAGTTTAGGTTGGATATTAGGAAACACTGTTTCACTAGGAGGGTGGTGAAGCGCTGGAATGTGTTACCTAGGGAGGTGGTGGAATCTCCATCCTTAGAGGTTTTTATGGCTCAGTTGGGGTTGGTCCTGCTTTGAGCAGGGGGTTGGGCTAGATGACCTCCTGAGGTCTTTTCCAACTCTAATCTTCTATGATTCTAAGTGTGGCTGACCCCAGGGCCAGTGACACCAGCCACTGCTGGAGCAGCCCCGGGGACAGTCACACCAGCTGCTGCTCCAGCGGCCCCGGCAGCACATCCTGGGCAGCCGGCCAGAGCAGCCACGATCCGCGGCCCCGGGCAGCAGTCCCTGGCCGGCTGGAGCAGCTGTGGTCCGCTGGCCCTGGCAGCAGTCCGTGGCACCTGGCAGCTGGTGCCGCTGGCCCTGGGTGCCCCCCAGTAGTCCCCCTGCCTCCCCCAGCCAAGATTTAATCACAGGTATTTTTAATATAAGTTATGGACAGGTCACGGGCCATGAATTTTTGTTTATTGCCTGTGACCTGTCCATGACTTTTACTAAAAACACCCGTGACTAAATCGTAGCCTTAATCATGAACTATGGTGTGTGTGAAAGTTGAGGGAATGTATATTGACAACTCACCATTCATTATTGGGGACTTCCTGAAACTCCAGCTGTACTTGCTCATTAGTGCCAATTACCCACTGCCATGTTGGTCACATGGAGTTCCTATCATTCTGTTTTCCTTTCTTATATCTGCTGCTGTCCAGTAGTGGGTGCTGTGGTATAAAACCCTTCCTGTGCAGTTACCCACTTCCCCTCCTGTTTCCTTTGATTGCTGGATTGAGCTGTATCTGTTTTATTAATGGTAAGGCCTCTATAAACTTACATTGGTATAACTATATTGCTCAGGGGTGTGAAAAATCTACCCCTGGTTAGACAGCGCTATGTCAATGTCAGGGCTTTTCCTGTCGACATAGCTACTGCCTCTTGTGGAGGTGGATTAACTATGCAATTTGTTTATTTAGCGTGTGCATACTATGCCGATGGGAGAAGCTCTCCCATTGGCATAGTAGCGTCTTCACTGAAGCGTTACAGCAGTGCAGTTGCACTGGTGCAGCTGCATCGCTGCAGTGTTTTAAGTGTAGACCTGCCCTAAGTGATGCAGCAGGCAGGTAGAGGTGAACAAAAGAGATCTTTATTAAGTATGTAGTGGCCAGTGTTACAGGCTGAGGCTCAGACTTTTATGTGGCAAGCAGACTGGGCCTAACTCTGTCCCTCCTGAAACCTCACCCTCTTTCTCCAATTCCACTCATTATACTACAGTGTTCATAGGGCCTTTTATGGCAGATTCTTACCAACCTTTTGCCCTTATCCATGCAACATACATGCTGGTTGGCTCTGGTCATTCCTTTCTGCATACCAGCCTGGCTGCACATTCTCAGAGCAAAGAATGCTCTTTCTTTGAGTGCATTTTTGGTTAGCATTTTTTGCCCCAAGTGCTCTTTTGCACTCAGGGGGATGATCATGGCCCTAATATACACAAACCCATTACAGTGCACTTACATAAGGTAAAAATAAAAATCACCATGTAACAAGCCAACACCTGAATAATTCATTGTTTTCCTGTGCTTTGTAACAATTCAGTGACAAATGAAGTGTTCCAAAGGATCAGAAATCTTCAAGAGCTTTGGACCGAGTCTTCCACACTTAATTTTAAAGGGATTGGTATTCATATGGAGCAGGGTTGGGGGGTTGGGTTTTTTTTTGTGTGTGTGTGCATATTATAGCATCAGATTCTCACTCTGGCTCTTTGAAATTTAGTTTTGTGCATGCATTTCATGGGCTGATGATATCCTCTTCCTCTAAGAAGTTCTGCTCTGTTCAGATACTAGAAAAATGAAGGTTTTCCAGATCAGTACATCTCCCCTGTTTGTGGCGGAAGAGCCCTACTGAGGGGTTACTTTCCAGCAGAGGAGGGAATTGGCACAAAATCAAAACTAAACCACATGATACCCTTAGTAACAGGTGGAATCTCAAGAGTGTAAGAGTTAAATTCAGAGCCCGAGCATCATCCTGAGCCACAACTTCAAAGCACTGTCTACATAGCTATTTTTAGAGCCCCACTAACTCAAGTCTGTCCTCTCAGGCTGGGAGGCTCACTGCCAAGGGCGGTGTAGACATACCCTAAGTCAGGGGTCGGCAAACTTTTTGGCCCGATGGCCACATCTGGGTATGGAAATTGTATGGTGGGCCATGAATGCTCATGAAATTGGGGGTTGGGTTGGGGTGGGGTTGTGGCCTCTGGGGTAGGGCCAAAAATGAGGAGTTCAGGGTGTGGGAGGGGGCTCCGGGCTGGGGCAGGCGGTAAGGGCTCCGGCTGGGGTGCAGGCTCTGGAGTGGGGGTACTGTAGGGTGCTCCAGGCTGCGATTGAGGGGTTTGGAGGGTGGGAGGGGGATGAGGGGTGCAGGCTCCGGGCGGCGCTTACCTCAAGCAGCTCCCAGAAGCAGCGATATGTCCCCTCTCTGGCTCGCAGAGGGTCAGGCAGGTGGTTCTGCACACTGCCCCATCTGTAGGTGCCGCCCCTGCAGCTCCCATTGGCCGTGGTTCCAGGCCAATGGGAGCTGCGGGGGCAGCATGCGGAGACCCCTGGCTGCCCCTATGCGTAGGAGCCGGAGGGGGGACTTGCCTCTGCTTCCGGGAGCCACGTGGAGCCATGGCATGTGCAGAGTGGGGCAAGACCCCGACCCTGCTCCCCAGCTGGAGCAGGGCAAGCCCCGGACTCTGCTCCCCAACGGGAGCTCAAGGGCTGGATTAAAATATCTGAAGGGCTGGATGTGGCCCCAGGGCCATAGTTTGCCCACCCCTGCCCTAAGTGGTGCCAAAGTCCCAAGTCAATATCAGGACAAAACCTGCTCGTGGGTGACTTATCAGAGAAGAAACACTATGTGAAAGATTCCTTGCACATTCATGCCTCAATGTGCTGCCACTCCTACCGTGTAATGTTTCACTGCATAAGTCAGGCATGCTGGTCATATACAGGTAATTCATGCATCATAAGCATCTTAATTATTTGATGTTGAAGATACTAAAGGGGAAATTAAGCAAAGTCTGTACAAACCTCGTACAGCCCCTCACACGCAATACCATGCTGCCTGTATTATGCTGTCATAGATAGACTTCTGTTTACACATATTTGGTTCATACTTGTGATATGTTAGAGACGGTCTCTGGTGTAACTTATCACTGAATCATCCAACATATCTATTGGGACCAGGGTTTTATCCTGCACAAATGAAAACATATTTCAGAAAATGGTATCTCCATTCAAGGAAGATGATCAATAGACTCTTGAAGTATGGAATGCCTATGCAGCCTGCTCTATCTATAGAAGTTAGAACAAGCTAACCAAAATAAAGGAAAAACCCTACATCAATTCAGCCACTTCTATTGAACTAATTACTGACTGAACACTAACAGCGTTGCTACTGTAACCAAAGGGAAACCAGGAGTGAGAATGCATTCATCCTACAGCCATCTCAAGGGGGAAAAACAGGACAGTAAAATGTTAAGCAGTGGGATGTACCCCTCATCCTACTCCCAGTGGCTGTACCTGTAGGGAGTATTTTTTTCAAGTGAAGATCTGCAAATGCCTCCTCTTAGCCTATTCAGTCAGACCTGCAAAATCAGATAGAAATCCTGCTTCCATTATAACAGGAAGAAATCTGCCAGTGTTTTCAGCATATACACTTATTTTCTTCCAAAGAGCCATGTCTGGGAAAAGGATTGGCACTTGTGCTTTAAAATTCAACTGCACTTGACCACCAAAACTTTGTTGTACAAATGTAAATAGTTTATACTTTTGAGAAATGGGTAAAAAATAGCAAGTACTGTGCATTAGAAAACTTTGCAAAGATGTTTCCCTTTCAGACAATTTATTTTTCTGTTTTAGCATAGATTTTTTTTATTTAGCAAACCTACCATATGAATAATATTTCATTACCTTTTATTTTAACTTCAACAAAAAACAAATTACTCTGGCTTCTCTCAGTAGCTGAAATAGTGTTGTTTTTTGTCGTTGCTGTTTTTCAAGGCAAGTTTTGCCAGGCAAAGCAACTTCAAAACAGAGCAAAAGAGGAAGATTGAATGGATTATTAGGGTCTTGGGTAACTACCAGTATTACAAAGTGTAACAAATGCAAATGGCACTGACACATTTCAGCTTCTTTATGTCGTTTCTGTAATATACCAATGCATTATGAAATTCAGGTACTATCAAAATAATTAACAAATATATATTGATGCTGATCAGTTTTCAGTTCATATCAGTTATGATCAAAGTAAGCTAAAGAGCTTGGCCCTGATCCTACAAGCGGATCCATACCCATGTATCTTAACTGGCATCATGGGAGCTCCCCACAGGCAGGGGCGCTGGAACAATTTGTGTAGTGGGGGTGCTGAGTCACTAAACCAAACTGTAAACCCTGTATATGATGGAAACCACTTCAAGCCCAGGTGCACCAGAACCCTCACCAACTCTAGTTCCAGCACCTATGCACACAGGTGCAGGGATCTGCCCCTGGAGATCATTTTACAGGACTGGCTCTTTTATTAGCAAAATCTGGACTCATTAAGTCTATACTGAATGATGGAAAACTAGTTACTCATGAGGTCAAAGCTTCTGGGTTATACGTATCTATTCATCCATCTAGGTTCTTTACGGTGATGAGCACCGATAAGTATCTGAGTGTCTCCCCAGAGTAAAATCACCCTGCAGTAGAATAGCTTTCTTCAAGTATTTAGAACTTATGTAATTGCAGATTTCCCCCATAAAAACATTTTCTAGCTGCACCGCTTTATAAAGTAATGAATAAATACAATGGCATCTTAAAAAGTTGCGACTACCTTAATCATATTTGATACTAGTCTATCATTTTGTTTTGCTAACATTTCCTAGAGAATGAAATGGCAGAAATCAGAATAATTTTGGTTATCATTAAAATACTGTATATAAACTGTTAGAGTAAGGCATTCTCAACACGAGCTTGAGGAACATACAGTTTCATGGCCACTAGAACTAATATTTCAATTTCTTACCAGGATTAGTGGAATGTTTTTGCATATAAATCTCTATACTATGTTCTCCTTGTAAACACTTTATAAATATTACTGATAAAAAGTTCAACATTTCAGATGTCATTTTAAAAGCATTGGCTTGACATCAGTTCCCATTCATTTACTGTGGGATTATGATTTGGAAAGGAAACGGTTTCAAATAAATGATCTCTAGAAGATGCCTACTTCTGTAAAACAAAACTAGATAGTATTCATTTCAAACGTCACCTCTAAACACTCTCTAAAGGTATATGAAGTGTATGCATTAATGTAAGTAGAATTTACTCACTCTCATGTTTCACTTGTTGGTATTATGGCAAATAACATTGTATCCATGACATGCCTGATAGGACAATTTACTATTTTCATAAGCAGTCACATGCATTGAAGTTAGGACCACCAGCTGGTGCATTTTGCACTCCAAAGCAGAGCCACCAGAGAGGCCAGGCTTACAAATCTTTCTTGCTGAATGGCAAGATAGCTGGTGCATGAAATGACTGATCTCAGCTGAAATAAGAAAGCGGATGACCTAAGGCTTCTCTTCTGATGCTGCCTCTCCTTCCTGAGTAGGTTTCTCTTCAGGTTCACTGTCTTGAACTGGAGACGGATTACGGCTGGGCTTATTGCTGTCGTGGCTGCTGTGACCACTTGCACTCCCAAGACGAGTTGATGCCACAACAGCTTTCACCGCAGCCTGACAAAGAGAGGCAATTTCAATAAAATCCATGGCATAGAACACCACCTTAGTCTCCTAGGAACAGGGAATTTTAGTACATTTAGCTAATAAAATGAATTATAACATTTGAAATAATGTAATGATATTTGAAACAGACACTATTTCTGAAGTCTAAATCTTGACTAGCATTAATAGAAACATTTTTTCAGATGTTTCTGAACCTAATTTAAAAATAAAATTCACCTATCCACATGAGAGGACAAAAAACAAACTTGTGTTTTTCCCATAAGTATATTCACACTGATTATTTCACAAAATATGCCCAAGGTGAAGTGGCTGCTATTATTATTAATTATTATTTATGTTTATTATAGTAGTGTCCAAAACATGCTAGGTTCTGTATAGATATATAGAAAGACTCTGGCACAGATCCTTGCTGGTATAAATTGTCACTGCTCCAATTTACACCAGTTAGGATCTGGTCCCTTGATCCCTGCCCGGTAAAGCGGATATTCTTAAAAAACAAAAACATATGTAAGGGGACAAGTGGATACTTGACCCAGTGAAGGAGGCAGCAGCCATGGAAGGATTCAAAATGTGGGATGACTTGCTCAGATTGATGGACTAGAAACAGAACATATTACCTGGTAAAATGATGCAAATTAAAGGTAAGTGTAATGATCTTTACTTTTGGTTCTACTAGTGTGTATACAAGAAGCAGTTCTGATCTACTGTGCTGGAATGAACATCAGGGTTAATTCTGGAGTTTTACAGTATTATAATTATTTTATAAACATATGGCTTTAAACAGACAAAGAAAAACTAAATAAGTCCTTACATTGGTCTTATCAAATTACCTCCACCTCCTGTATATATGTATCATTACTTGTATAATTGTAGCCACATGTGTATTATTGTATATACATTTATTGATTCAGTACCTAGATTTATATTTCATCCTTAGTTTTTTTGGAGAGAGATTTAGTTTTCATGCTATTAGCTATTTGGTAATTCTGTTCCTGATGGAAAAACATTAAAGAAATAAACTTATAAAAAACCATAGTTCTAATTAATCTCAAGTCTTGCGTTTTTTTTAAATGTGTCTAGTTCAGGAGTCGGCAACCTATGGCACGTGAGCCAAAGATGGCACGCGAGCCGATTTTTAATGGCTCTGCACGGAGCAGAACATGCTGCTAGGAGCCTCATGGTAAGGGGTCCGGGGCCGGGGGGG